AAGGTGCACAAGCAGCAGGGATAACCGCAGCCTGGAGAGGATTGTCAGGAAAAGGCCATTCAAAAGTGTTGGGGACTTTCACAAGGAGTGGACTGAGGCTGGAGTCAGTGCATCACGAGCCACCACACACAGATGGATCCTGGACATGGGCTTCAAATGTCGTATTCCTCTTGTCAATCCGCTCCTGAACAACAAACAACGTCAGAAGCGTCTTACCTGGGCTAAAGAAAAACAGACCTAGTCTGTTGCTCAGTGGTCCAAAGTCCTCTTTTCTGATGAGAGCAACTTTTGCATCTCATTTGGAGACCAAGGACCCAGAGTATGGAGGAAGAATGGAGAGGCACACACTGCAAGATGCTTGAAGTCCAGTGTGAAGTTTCCACAGTCTGTGTTGATTTGGGGAGCCATGTCATCTGCTGGTGCTGGTCCACTGTGCTTCATTAAGTCCAGGGTCAACGCAGCCATCTACCAGGAGATTTTGGAGCACTTCATGCTTCCTTCCACAGATGAGCTTTATGGGGATGCTGACTTCATTTTAAAGCAGGACTTGGCACCTGCCCACACTGCCAAAAGCACCAAAACCTGGTTCAACGACCGTGGGATTACTGTGCTTGATTGGCCAGCAAACTTGCCTGACCTGAATCCCATAGAGAATCTATGGGGCATTGCCAAGAGAAAGATGAGAGACATGAGACCGAACAATGCAAAAGAGCTGAAGGCCGCTATTAAAGCATCCTGGTCTTCCAGAACACCTCAGCAGTGCCACAGGCTGATAGCTTCCATGCCACGCCGCATTGAGGCAGTAATTGCTGCAAAAGGGGCCCAAACCAAATACTGAGTACATATGCATGCTTATACTTTTCAGAAGTCCGATATTGTTCTATGTATAATCCTTGTTTTATTGATTGCATGTAATATTCTAATTTTCTGAGATTGTGGATTTGGGGTTTTCATGAGCTGTAAGCCATAATCATCACAATTATGACAAATCACGGCTTGAACTATCTTGCTTTGCATGTAATGAGTCTATCTCATATATTAGTTTCACTTTTTAAGTTGCATTGCTGAAATAAATGAACTTTTGCACGATATTCTAATTTTTCGAGTTTCACCTGTATGTCACTTTACTGTACTCCCCTATTGGTGTATGAAAACTGCCACATTAGGCAGGAGGGTGAAGGAATGACATCTGGTAAGAACATAGTTGCTAATAAATGTTATACCAACATTTTCATTAAGTCATAAAATATAATGCAAAACCCATAAGAGAAACACTTGGCATAATTCTGGTGGCACTGAAGAATGAGAAGATGCTGTCTCTATTGCCTGACCTATAGGGAGGTTCTGGTTGGTTTTTCAGTGAATCCTACATGTTTGAGGATTGTAGACCCAGTAAAATAAAACAGGGATTTGCTACAGTAACCATAATGTACTGCCTTCCCTTTGAACTTAAGTCAGCTGGTTTAGAAGAGCCAAAAAGGGGGCTCTTATACGAGCTAGCCCCTCACTATAAAAGAGGGAGGTCAAACCAGCCATGTTGACAATGTGCTTTAGCTATGATAGAGAAAGGATAGGGAGTGCTGCTGACAAAAGGAAAAAAGCTGTTTTAGTATGTTCATGTATGATTCAGGGGCACATAAAAGGTGGAGGAAAAGGTGAGGAAGGAAGGGGGCAGTAGAGGGAGAAGGTGGTGGGGGAAAAGGCCCTGGGGATATCAGTGCAGGCAGTACCACCATATGAATTAGGATGGCTAATCCCTCCAATCTATGCAAACTGCCCCATCAATTCATAAAATCTTCTCTCGCTCCTGATGTGCCTGGCCTATGTTGTACACAGCTCAACTATCCTCTCAACACCAAAAAATACAAATAAAAATCTAAAACTAAATCAATAATAAAAAAAAAAATACAAATAAAAAATAGCATAGGTAAAAATAACAAAACAATTGCAGATGTGAGTTTCCACTGGATTATACAGGGGACTGGTTTCAGCACAAAGAGCTTGGACAAAGTGGGTCTGAGACTACCAGACTTGGGATTGTTATACTGTAGATTTTTTTGCAGCTCCAGATGACAGCTAATTTCCTCTTGTAGGCAGGTGCTGTTTGTGCTCCCCACTGTAGGTGGCGCTGAGATATTGCTGATCAATACATAAGAGGGAAGAAGTTGTGGGGAACATAAATCCTCTATGATTTCTTGCGTTCACCTGGGAGCAGCTGCCCAATTAGATGTTGGACCCCATGTGACCTCTGCAGCCATTTTAGGCAGGTCAGAGCCTATTGAAGTCCCTGGCCCCCTGATTTGGCATGCATTGTACAAGTGAGTAGTGTAGGGCCAGAGTTCCTACAGCACTGAGTGACAGGGAAAGGTTCTTTGAAATAGGGAAAGCACGGGAACTTTTCTATCTCCCATTTGGGTTGGACCAGCCAGGCCATATTCCTGTTCCTTGTTGCAGAAGCTTTCAGCATTGGATAAGCTACTGTACAGCTGCTGTACAACCCATAAGTGGCCCTGGATGGCTGTGTGCACCTGCTGGGCCTTTTGTACCTTTTTGGGACTTTTACAATAAAATGTTCATATTACTCTGTGTAATCTCTGCCACTGACACTCCATGTTGCACTCTGCTCACACTCTGCCATTTGGACATACATGCTGTTCAGCCACTGCAAAAGTGGCCCATATTTGTGGCTAATGTCTGACCTCAAATGATACACAAAAATTAAAATTTCAAGAGAAAACCTGTCTCTGCCCTTTATCTCATGGCCTAATCAAGCTGCTTACATACTGTCCAGCCACTGTACAATTTGTTGCTATTGTCTAGCCAATTTCAACAAAACACAAAATAGGTGAAGTCTATATTTTCAAATATTTTTGGAATAACTGGGGATACAGGGGTTTGGACTGGGGATACAGGGTTTGGAGGCAGTTTGGAGAATGTGGGATTGTGGTTTTGAAGGTTTTTTTGCTCTCTGTTTTGACATTTTCTTAACCTTTTAACCTTTAACAACAATGCAATGAGGTACTATGAAAGAATAAGCTCACAAACTATACTGTACTAATAACCCCTTCTTGACCAGGGTCAAAACAAACCTTAACGCCCAAGCCCAATTTTGCAACTTTGACATGTATTAGAATAAGTGTGCATATCATCACAACTACTTAGTGTAGCCAGGCGGATTATATCTTGTTGTTTTAGGACAAATTGGGCCTTCTTTTTGTGGGAAACGTTGATGGATAGCTTTATTATGAAAGGAAAACTGGCCTAAAATATTGAAAAAAAAGTCATTTTTTAAAATTTAGCCATATATTTTTATGCCATTACTATGGCGCACCACAAAAAAATCCTGATAAACAAATTCTCCTACTCTTATGATCACGGCGACACTACATACTGTATATGTGCGTGATTTGTTCTATGTACCTATAGTAGGGCCAAGAAACAATAATACTTCCACTAAATAACACGGACACTTACTGCCACTAACTGATATTTACACTGACGATAAATGATACTGACACTAACAGTAACTGACACACTGACACTTGCATTGCCACTAACACTGCCACTAACTGCCCTTTGCACTTACACCAACACTACACTGACACTAAGAGTAACTGACACACTACCACTAACACTGAAACCTACACTTACTAAACTAAGGCAAGCACTGAACTAGTTAATTTTTTTTTTTTTTTTACAAACATCTCCTCCAGTGGAGAGTAATAGATACAATGTATCTTTTATTCCTTGCTAGCAGAGAATACCTGTTGTTTCTTCTCTTGACAGAGGAGAAACAAAACAGGGAAGGGCTACAGAATGAATGATCACTGTGATAGCCAATCAGAGGCTATCACAGCAATTATGTGATCTGGAATCGTTCCCCTGGTTCCTAAACGTTAGTAGAAGATCTGGGGTCTCAGTGCTGGGAGCATGCGATGGAGTGCACTTCCAGTACAAACAGGGAAACACATGCCAGGATTAATGCCCACTTCCTGAATACTGCATATATGTCTTACATGGTCATAAAGAGGTTAAACTGTTTTTTCACTGACTAAGTCATATAAAGTTGAGGACTTTAGCTGTATTTTTTTTTTTTAGGAAACTTTCCTACAGCTTTTAGATCTGCTTTGGTTGCTACTTTCACAAGTAAACTGAGGCCTAATACCCCTGGACAAAAATAGGGTGTCACAGCTAAAACTACCTAAAACAAAACTTTTTTCCCAATGAATTAGATTGGAGTTCTACTGCTGTTTTTAAGACAAGCTGAATGTGAGAGTTAAAAAAAATCAACTCCAAAATATATGATACCAAAATACAGTGTTGCTGATGCTGTCCATGAAAATTGTTACTGTTCCATAAAATCACATACATAAAATCACATACAGTAGCACACATGTAATTAAAAGTTTTTTTGTTTGCGTCACCTTCAAAGTCACATAAAAAGGTCCCTTTTCTCATTGTAAGATTTTTTTTTTTAATGTACTCCAGGACAGTGTTTAACTTCCAATGCTTTTTTACAACAATAGCTTGCCTATTAGCCTTGAAAATGGCCAGAATTTTACCCCCTGCAAATCAAACCCATCCAGATTCGCTCACTGACCTGACTGAATCATTTGAGTCAGATACTGACCTGACTCAATCATTTGTTCTGTAGTGCAGGTTGTAGAAAGGGACAGCTGTTACCTATATTCCAGTGTTCTTTACTTTACCAATATGTTCAAAATATAAGGTTAAACTATTGTACTCTGGGAATGGTAACTTATTACAAATATACATTAGAAAAATGATACAAAACGTACTCTGAAAATAATTCAAGAAAATGAAATAGCTGGAACCACAATATATAAAATAACATTGGATTGTATGTAAAGCACGTACTTATGGATAATACGAATACTTTCTGACCAACGGTATACATTACTGTGTTTTTCACATTCTGACTTTTATGTTGCTGAAATGGCAGCTTCAGCTTTCCTCAGTATAAGCACTCTGCAACTTACCTGTAGGCGAACACAATGTAGTCTTTCACTGAATTTTTAGAGACCAGTATGGAGTAATTTTTATGAACAGGAGTTTCATCTGCAGGAATGTCCACCTGACAGATCAGTTTGCAAGAGTCTGCCAAGTCAAATACCTAAAATATACAGATCTGTATATTAATACAAGTACATGCATGTGTGGAACCAGTTTTCTAAAAACTGGTATCACTAGAGATATACTGTATACTTATATCTTAAAGGAAAAAAACAACACTATAATTAATTTAAAGAGTATATAAACCCTAAAAACACATTTCTCTTATATAGGGGTTTCTTATATCTGTTTGACATTCATCCATCCAGAATTGTTTTGAGCTGATGATCTTCTGTGCTTTGGTCTCTTTGTCAGTTTACATTGTTACTGGCTTTCTTCGTGGATTACAAAGAACCCCCCCCCCCCCCCCTTGTTATGGAGAAAAGAAGGAAGTGTTATATGGTCCAAGTACACTACCTGTCCTACTCAATACAGTTTTCACCCTGCAGTGGGAGATGAGTTAATGGCAGGATTACTGGGTTAAAAAAAAACAAATTCAACCACCACATCTAAGGACAGGTATGCTGTAATACTATCAACACTTGGTTTTGGCATTAATGTAAAAATGTAAATAGTACATACTTTGTATATTTACTTTTCAGTGTAACTGACTTACTGATTTTTAATTTGACCACTAAAATTAAGTAGGGCCAAAGCACTTGTTGGTAAACCAATAATTTGTGTGTATTAATTCTGGGTGTCAGGGGTGTGTCTTTTTTCTTCATATTTTGTGTTAAAAGGTGTTCTTCCATCTCAGACAGTTGAGAAGTATGCTTCATGAGGTGGTCATTCTGACATTTGGACAGTGTGGCACAAACACCTTTGGGTTGTGGTAACATGCAGTGTGTGCTGAATTTTAGCACACCACAATGCACACACAATACCTCTGTGGGTTGTGGTGCACCTTTTTTTTATAAAAAAAAAATTATCATATAATTTTTGTGCATTGTGGGCTATTATCAGCATATAGAAAATAAATGTGCTGCCTAAATGCAACAAACTTTACATTTGTCAAAGATAACAGCCCTGGTAAAATAATGGACAACTAACCTTAACCAGATGGCTTCCATCAAAAAATGCCAGAAGGAGCTGCCCGTCCATGGCAGTGGTGAGAATTGGAGCATCTAAACAATCATGCAGCGCATACACTAATTTTTTATGGCACATGTCCCATACTTGGAAGCCGTGGTCCTCAGTAATTGCAACTATTTTATTCTGCATGCCCACAGTGATAGAGTCAATTTTCTTTCCAACTCCATGGAGGGTGAATATTGCTTTGCCAGCCTCCAAATCCCAGACTTTTAAGGTGCCATCTCTAGATGCTGTGATTGCCTGGAGGCCAATCTGAGTTTCTGCAACTGCAGTGATGCTGCCTGTGTGGCCTGTGCAAAAATAAAATGACCAAATACATTAGGATCACAAAAGGGCTTACAGTTGGCCAGAAATATTATTTTGTTTGCATGCTAAGTAATGGGTAAGTGTAATGCTTACAGGTATTTATTACCCCTCACAGAGATTGCCATACTCCTTCTGACAGTGCCTTCATCTGCTACTGTCATCAGGAGGACAGCGCCATCCTTGTTCAGGCATTATTTATGGTCAACCTGGACTGAGATGAAGGCTCAAGCTGGGTACATGCTAAGTTCTTTTTGTTCAGCCAGTGGGCTCAAAGAAAAAAAAAGTGCTAATATACTAAATAACACTAATAAATAAATAAATAAATACTACTGTCCAAAAATTATATTGTCCACAATAAAAAAAATAAAATATAAAAGATATTTTATTTTTTATTGTGGACAATATCATTTTTGGACAGTAGTATTTATTTATTTATTTATTAGTGTTATTTAGTATATTAGCACTTTATATATATATATATTTGGATGATACACTTTTTGGGGTGAAAAGTGTTTAGGTGCAATTGGGGAATTATTTAAAGGGTACACCGTTCATTTTTTGTTATTCAAAGAAAAAAAGACCTCACAGACTCCTGTATCCACACAAGCGAGACCAGATGCAAGAATCTCCCCACTTTCCTATGGCATTCTGACAGCGGAGACCCCTCTAGTGTCAGAATACACAGATTAGTGCTGCAGCCATTAGCTGCAGCGGCTAACTGAACACAGGTTTTTTCAATAGGCTTCTGTTGATCCAGGAGGGCTACACGCAGATCGGAATTTTCGTTCTGTGTGTACCCAGTTGGTGCTTGTGCAATTCACAAATGTGTGACACAGATCTGCACACCACTACTGCAGATTGACACTTTATGTATTGCTACAAATTCACAAAGTTTATGGTCAGAGGCTCCATGCACACTAGCGTATTTTTAAGCTCAAAAAATGCTGAATAAAAAACACTGGTAATACCGTTTTTAGTAGCAATTTATTAGCGTTTTAGTAGCATTCAGAAGTGTTTAGGAGCATTTAGGAGCATTAGCGTTTAATTAGCATTTGTACAGTACATGTAGAGGGAAAAAAAGCTACAAAAAAGCTGTTAGGAGCGTTTTATTACCATTTAGGAACATTTAGCATTTTTTTCTGCTGGAAAAACACTCCAAAAACAAGACGCTGAAGCTCAAAAAATGCTAATAGCATAAAGTAGTGTGCATGGACACATAGGATAACACTATTTAGCTTCCTAGGAGCAGAAAAAAAATATGCTGATAACAGCTTCTAGGAGATTAAAAAATGCTAGTGTGCATAGAGCCTGAATAAGTACATTGTTAATACATCTTCCTGCCTACAGCAGACTGATGACATTATCTCAATATAGGCCAAGTTACTTACCTGGAGCTCAGTGATTAAAGGTACAGTTTATTTTTAAAATTTTACTGTTAATCCCCTTTCACATAATCCATGTCTATTCTGATCAGGAGAGAACCTGTGAACAGATTCCCTGCTGGAACAGAGCAAAACAAAAAAGATGATACTTTTGTGATCCCCCACCCCCGCCCCGAACCTTGCTCTCTGTGGGGTTTTTTACAAATTTTTAATTCTAATTATACTATACTCATGTATGATATTTGAACTGTGGTGACGCTTTTAATAACCAGTACTGTATTGCATTTTGTAAACTTTTAATGAAGATTTTTACTGTTAAATAAACCAGGCACATGTAGGTTTACTTCTGCCTGCCCATAAACTGCCTGCCCAAAGCATTAAGCTTCCATTCATATCTACCTAAAAAACTGTCAGGTGGATCAGATGGGGACGCTCATCTGAAAGGACCCTTTTATATATTGTGATTTGAAAAAAAATATTAAGAGTTCCATTTAAATAACTAGTCACTAAATATTGTGCAATATTAGCAAAAATGATAGCACTTTAACACCAAACTTTCTGAATAAATATTTAAATATGATAGAAAACTAACCTGACAACTAGGCACAGGTGCAATAATATTGCTAAACATTCCTCACGCAGAGATTTGTTACATCTAAGGATGAGCTTGGACGTGTATGGAGTCCAAACCCGCCTGATCTATTTCTCCAGGAAGCTGTAAAAGTGATCAGCCAATCATAGGCAGCAGAGGTATACTCCATAGCCGCACGGCGTATACAAGGAGCATGTATAGATGCGGACATACAGCTACGGGGCAGGTAATGCCTCTGCTACCTATGATTGGCTGTCCTCATTGACTGCTTCCTGGCAGGATAGCTCAACTGGGTTTAGACTCATGTCTGTACCTGCCTGAGCTCATCCCTGGTTACATCTCATCTTGAGTTTCAGTAACAGCAGTTCTACATAGTTAGACAAAACCTGGTAAATGAACTATTCCTAATTATAACAGTGCTGGTTCAAAGGAAGGCAAAACTAAAAGTGTGAAGGATGCCAGTTTAGGATACCCATAGACAAGAGGTAATTGTTGTACACACGGGGGTTATTTACTAAAACTGCATCGTGCACAATCTAGTGCAGCTCTGCAAAGAAACCAATCAGCTTCCAGGTTATATTGTCAAAGATTAATTGAACAAACTGAAGTTAGAAGCTGATTGGCTACCATGCACAGCTGCACCAGATTCTGAATGCACCCATTTTAGTAAATCTCCCCCACTGTGACCTGGGAAGACATTCCCTACCCAGCCAATCTCAGGAGGAAAATACAACTGTATGCAAGGAAATTACCAGGACAATTGTCGTTTTTACTTGAGATAAGGCTGGTGTCAGATTTGCATGCTTAGGACATCTTTCTCACACAAGATCTTCCAGTGATTAAATCTACTGATTGACATCACATATCTATAGTTATGGTAATGCCCATAGATGTTAGTTGAGTACCATATCTGCTGGTCTAATGGGTACCTAATGGGTCTATGTTGTAACTTCAAAATTCCTTCGATGGAGGATTAAACTACCAATTAGAAAACCTGTATTTTTTTATTTGATGTTCTTGGATTTGAGTGCATTCAAGGTAGCATCTAATAAAACTCTATGAATATGCGCATTAAAAACATATGTGTATGTGGCTCTGATTTTTTGACAAACAGGAGGAAAACTGTGTTTTATCATTTTAAATGCATTTGGCTATACCATATAGGAAATTAATTCAAATACATAGAAAATGCATGCAGACACATTGAAGAAAAACATACCAGCTATTGTGTCACAGGGAATTCCCCCTGGGGGCAGAAGACAGGTGAAGGAAGGCAAAAATGTGGCTATTGAGGACTGTTGGCACTGAGATAGCAACGACGGCAGTAAAGGATATTTTCTAGGATCACCTAAGATCAAGAAATAGAATAGTTTTAGTATATGATGTGACTTCAGGTATCATGGATTGCTCCAGTGCTGTGCTGATGCATGTAACAGTAACCAGTGCACAACTACAAATTTCAGCAAACAGCAGTAAGCCCTAATAACAAGAACCTGGACTTCCATGTAGTTCCATGACTACTAGTATACAGGCTACCAAAGACTTTCCTGACTACATGAAATAGTAAATAAGGGATACAAATACAACATAATCATCAATCGATCAACTTGGGTACATTCAACATGCCCATACATGGTTTGAATCTTGGCCAGTTCCTACTAAACCGGCCAAGATTCAATCCGTTTATGGCCGGCTTAAGAAATTTATACCATAGCTAATGAATAAACAGGTAAAAAAAGGATGATAATCAAATCCACACTGCTAATTAAGATAGACACTCCTACAATACAGCTTTACTGAAATGCATCGTTAACCATTTGTGCTATTTTCCTTTATGCACATGATCTGTATATCATTTAAGCATATGATTTGCATATGTCATTATATTAAGAATGAGACCTCTGCCAACTCACAGGAATACATGTAATCAGTTTACGAAGGTTTTATTTACTTTTGTGTAGATATCATAAAAATATATATATCTTACCTGGAGCAACAGGCTTATCTAAAACTTCTATCTGGTGGAGTCGTCCTTTCAGCTGAGAAGCCAGTTGACAGGGATCTGTCAGCAAAACTTTAGTAGACAACTGAAGAGTTTCAGAAAGCAGATTCAAATCAAGCGATGGTCTGTTAGGTAGAATATGTCACCGGGGTGTGATGCTTAGGAGGATAACAAGCATACTGACAAGCCGACTATTTTACAATTTACCATTGGCCAACTGATAGTCACAGCTAGTAAAAGCTCTCTAGACCAAAAACAGTATAATGAAAAAAAAGATGACAAAGTGTATTTCAACCTTTGCAGGCACAATGTATATGTTATATATGCACATTACAAGTTATTCTGAATGCTACAAGCTGCCTATAGACTCTTTTGTATAATCATGTTCAAGAAACAACTAGAAAGGTAAGATTCTTTTTATTTTTAGGTATGCTGTGTACATGGGAACACATAATAAATATAGAGTGGTAGATTCTCGAATTGGGCTGCAAAGGTGGAAATATACATTTGCACAAGTTGAAATGGTATACTGCAGTATAAAACATTATTGTTCAAAATTGGAGAAAAAGGAAAAATGGAAGGGAGGCAGGAAAGTAGAAATTAAAGGGGTACAAGCAATAGTTATCCTTAGGGTAGATTTAGGCCCAGTTTACACTAATGCGGGAACTGCAGCCTATTCATGATTGGGCTGCTATGCCCGTGTTTCATGCAGGAAAAAGGTGTATGG